GACTTTCAGATATCGTTCATTGTTCTTTGTGAGGTATAAAACCTCTCTGCAAAAAGTGATTGTATTTAAAGACAAAAGCTAACAGTGTTAATAGACTTCTCTCAAAAACGTCTCCTTCTTCCTTTATAATATATATTTCTTTCTCCTCCTCTTCATCGGTAAATAGGAAGTGTATGAGAGAATTTATTTTTAAAAGCTAAATAGGAGACTTATTCTGAATATTTTTTTAGTGAAACTAAATGTCTTTATGGTATAGCCCCAGTCTCTGTAACTGCTAAGAAAGTCAGGTCGAAGACAGCAGCAGGGATGAGCTGCAGAAGTATTACTCTTATTATCACATCTTCTTCTTCTTTTATATCTCTTACAGCTGCAGCAGTAGTAGCTGTGTCTTACAGTGAAGTGTTATTCTTTCTACTAGTCAGTTTATTAGTAATCAGTTCTTTTTCTACTCTTCTCATCACTGTTATAACACTGCTTTCTCTTTCATTCAATACAGTAATATATGATCTTATATAGTCATTTAGAGAGAATCTTGAGAAGAGCTTGATTTCAGAGATAGTAACTCTGAAAAGTTCAATTCATAGTTTCTCTTCTGTGACATATCTAAGCTCTGCTCAGAATACTACTAAGTTGAGTTCACAGAGTCTCATAATTTCTTTATCTTCTCTCTGTGAGAAGGCTCTGATACAGTCTCTGACTGATATTATTATATGTTTATACTGCACTAAGTAGTTGAAGAAAGAAGAGATTTTATATATCTATCTCTTCTCTTACTTCTATTATTTCTGTTATATCTGTAACAATGACTTCTGTCTCTTTATAAGTATTATCTTATAAGAAGATATCATATCAGTTCTGATAAGAAGCTCAGATGCTCAAGCAGTACAGAGTAAGAATTTTAAAGCTTTAAGTATTGATGAATTCTATCAAGACTAAGAAGATCTCTCTTACTTATCTGTAAAAGATGATGAAAGTGTGAATCTCTGAGATGAAAAAAGATCTCAGAATAATCAGTCTTAAGAAGAGATTAGTCAGTACTGCTGTTAGAAGTATTACAGAGATTAATTACTGATTGAAAAGAATCTTACTTTAATTAAAGCAGATAACTGAGATTCTTTATAAATTAATAAATTAATACTTTATGTATCTCTTATACTCTTCTGTAGCATGCTCTTCTGTGATACTGTAGTACTAACTTTATAACAGATAAAGATATCAGTACTGAAAACTTCAACAGTAAAGAATAAGTTTAATAAGAGTGTTATTATTAATAAGTAGACTCTGAGATTCTTCTTTTTACTTTTTCTACAGGCTGTAGCTCTATTAGAATAGCAGCAGTCTGTAGATTGATAATATTAATCTTTTATTAATTTTAAATATCTCTTTTCTCTAACTGCTTCAGGAATTTTATACTTATATAGTCTTATTAAACTTCTAAAAAAAAACTCTTTAAAAGAAAATAAAAGAAGAGTGTTATAGAGTTCACAAGACATCAGCTTATCACTGTAAGATTATCTCTAAAAGAATTCTTTAAGAAAAATGAGAAGTTTTAAGTAGTATTTCTTACTTAACATCTCTGATGTGTAATAGAGCAGTCTCTACTAGTTATCTCATAGCTTATAATCTCTTTCTCAGCATTTTTCAAATGCTTAAGTGATTTTTATAAATTATCTGATAATAAATAATCTTTTTATTTAATAAGATATTGAAGCTTACTGTAATATATTTACTTATTCAATATTTTCTTCATAAGATATTTGATATCATTCTCTATCTCAATATTATTCAGTTAAGATGACTCTACTCTGAGACCTTACTTATAGAGCTTTAAATAGAAGATGTGAAAAACAGAATAAATTGATTTTAATTCTGAGATTAATTTCAACTTATATATCTGCTTACTTATTACTCTTATTACTGAGAAAGATTCTAGTCATCACTTACTAAGCTTCTTATATAATCTTATTATCTTGATATTCTTTGCTGAAAGTAGTACTTGATTCTCTATTAAGAACTTTATTAAAAGATGTTTTTAATTATACTATTCTGTCTGCTGCTTCTGAGTGTAGTGAATACTTTTCATTATCTTCTTATGAATTTTATTTAAAAGTTTCAATCTAGCTTTTATTTCTGATACTAAGAGATACTCTGTTCTCTGTATCTGTTTAATATTCTAACTATCTATTTCTTTCTTAGAAATATTATTCACAATGTCACTGAGTAATGAGGAATTATATTCATAATAAGTATAGAAAGAAGATACTTTTAAGATCACATTCTTTATATTATTATATATAAATTTAATGATCAGAAGATGCTTAAGTCAATCATTCTGATAATATAAATAAAATACTTGAAGATGCTGTTTCAATGTCTGATTCTGATATTCAGTCTGATTATCTGTCTGTGAATAAAATAAAATACTGAGAAGATGTCTTATTATAAGATAATAGTAAAAAGCTGATAAGTATTTACTGATAAAGAGAGATTCTTGATCTGTTATCAACAATTTCAGAGCACTGTAATCATGAATAATAATATCTAAAAATAGATCAGTCAATTCAGAGACTTTAATCTTTTTATAAGTAGAAATATATTTAATCATCTTTGTGAAACAGTTAATAATAATCAAAATTAAGTCATATTCTTTAACTCTTGTTGACTTCAGCAGATTAACTATGAAATTCATTGATAGATTCTATTATAAGCTCTTTGAAAGAGACAGTGATATTAACTTACTATATTACTTATATCACAGAATCTTTATTTTTTAACAGATATTATAAGTCTTAATATACTCTTTAACATCTGTTTGAAGCTTGTTTTAAATATATTTATATTTTAGAAGCTCTTCAGTTGTCTCTAATCTGAAGTACTCAGTATAAGAATTATTATAATGAATTCTTAATAACTTCTAATATACTGTTCTGCTATGAGAGATGAAGACTGAATTATTTAGTAGTAAAAGTTCATATTCTTTTAGTTATCAGTGACTTGATTTCTTAGTAACACTGTCTCACTCAGAGTCTGTCTCTTTCAAGTTTAAATCAAATTCTTTCTTCTTCAACTTCTGAATTTAAGCTATAGTAGAGACATCTCTCTGCTGTAACTTATTAATAAATTCTAAAAGTAGTCAGATTAAAAGATTATAGACTGTTTCATTCTTTATCAATTCAATAATAGTAAGATATAATATGAGAAGCTAATAATCTTCAGTGTTAGTTCTCTGCAGAGATCTGAGATTTCTTTCATCTTCTATACTAAGTCATGCAGCTATCTTATCAGCACTGTTTCTAAGCTTCAGAGAATCTCAATTCTCTACAGTCAGCTTCTTCTGCAGTGATAACAGAGATTCTTTTATAGAATTCTTCTTCTTATCAATGATATTATAATCAGACTGTTTAGATAGTATATTAGTGAGATTAAGCTGGTCTGAATAGTATTAAATATAGAAATCATACTCTGAAAGCAGCTTCACTTATCTGACTTAACATTCTATCAAGCTCTTTATTATCAAGAAGTAATATAGATTTATATAATTAATGAGAACTTGTACTGAATACTTATTACTCTGAAGATAATATTATCAAATCTTAAAGAATTTAATAATTACTAATATCTTCTAATTATAAGTATTATATCTTCTCTGTATAAGTAATAACTTCTTAAAGAAGAAGATCACTGATCTTCATTTATAGTATCTTATAGACTCTGTGAAAAAATCTTCTATTACAGATATTTCATTATCTGTATCTCTGAGAATTATTATCTTTTAATTCTTTTAATATTGAAAGATCTTCAGTGTCAACTGTGAAAAGATTTCACAGACTTCATTCTCAGATATATCAGTCTCACACTGACTGAGTAAGTTAGAATTAAAATGATTCAGTATTATAATATCTGGAAAAGCTTGTTTCAATTCTGCAAATACTCTCACAGTG